AGTTAAGGTGGTGCAGACAATGTGGATTCTTGCATAATTCAACTTTTGAGGGCTTGGTTTTGCAACTTCAGTAATCTTATTTTAACATAAACATTTTTATAATGCGAGCTTTCTGGGGCTTTATGCCAATGAGGTAAAAAAAGAAATTTCTTCAGGGGATTCAACAGCTGACTTGGATCTTAAAGGTCCACCTTAGGCACATGTGGTACTCGATCAAATAATGTAAATGACAGCAGTGGTTGGCCACACTTCTCAGGGTGGAACCATTTCATGTGGTGGGGCATCCTGACAGAGCAGGACCATATAGTTTAACTATCTGCTTAACTATCAGCTCAACTAGTTTATTAATATTACAGGCAACCAAAATCACTGTTTTATAATGGAAGTATTTGGCAGCCTTTTTTAACGGATGGCACTAGGGTGCTGTGAGGCCTGTCTTGCTTCACGGCTCAGGGGGAGCGTTTTACCACAGAGAACACTTGTCACTGTAGAGGCCGTAATTCCTTTACAAACCATTTGGAGTCAGGATTTTCTAAAGTGTTTAAGGGAACAGGAGACATTCAGCTATCACTGAATTTTGAATTAAAATGGCATTTAAATTTCACCACCTGAAAATCCAGGTCTTAAGATTGCAGATGGGTGCTTTGTCGGAGTGCTCTTTCTCTCTAACCAGTATATAAATACACATGTGTTGTTACATGTTGAGGTGAAAATGATTTATATTTACACTTGAATCCTCATAATCTTTCACTGCAGCTGCCAGTACTTCATAGCAAAGAAGCATTTAATGCAAAAGACACTGCTCCAGCCTCTTACAGGAATCTAAGTCTAAACATATTTTCTGCAAACTGTGACTATTGTCACACTGACACAATGATGTTTATAGAGAAGAAAAGACAGTTTTAACCAGAGACTAACTTTTATTGTGCATTGTTATGCAACAGAACAAATGGAATTGGAGGTATGCAGTAATAAAACCAATATTCAAATTAGAATTACCACCTGAAATAGTAAACTGTTGGTAACAAATGTCTTTAATTAAAAAATATTGACTGTTTAAAAAATTCTCTAAGATTTTATATTTTTTAAAAGAAATGTGTGTTGCCACATAGAAAACAATTCACACATCCTATAGAAATTGGCACAAACCCTTACTAGTCTATATTACACTATGCACTTTTTTGTACAATATCTGGTATAGGTCTATCCCTAACCTGTACTTACTCTACACAGTACAATCATCATTAGAAAGTATTCATAGAATTAACTACACCATGACAATAAAAATATCAGGATTAATGGTTTTTTAATCACAGTTTCTCCACAAATATTTGTCATAGAAAATATAGCGAAGGCATGTTGGCACAGATGGGCGTGCGGTACTGCTACACAAAGTTGGAGAGAAGGCAGATACATAAATGGCAGTAAGATTAAAGAGTATGGAGGGATAAGACAAGAATCTATCCTCCTGGGACTTGCTGGAGCGACATGATAGATAGCCGTTTCCTTCTGCTCCAAGGCTGCCACGCGCATGCAGCAGCCTGAATGGATACGGTGACTTACAAAGCGCTGTGCTGAAATACAGGTGTCTCACTGTGCAAGGGCTTACGTGCTATCTGCTGCTTCAGGTCCCATAGCATTATGCCTAACATCTTGTGGCTATACTGACGCTTCAGCGCGTATGGATTTACAATGCCTCATGTGCTAAGTAATCAGAATAAGCCGTTGTGAAAAGTTTTAGCAACAAAATGGCTTCGGTCAAGAAGCCATCGTGGCAGTTTAAAACAAAACAAGAAATGTTGTTGCACGCTATCATTTTAAAAGCAAACATGAACAAAAAAGATGACTTCCTGTCTTTTAATGCCTCTCTGTGACTGCTATTCATGTCATTGGCAATGGCACACAAGCAGCTGAGGACAAAATTTTGTTTATAAAGAAAGGTCCAAACCTGCAAAGCCATTTCTAGTGCTAAAGTGGCTTTCAGGATCAACCAATACATTTGGTTATTTTGCACAATATGAGAGCGCAGATTTGTGAGTGGTCTCAGGAGGCTGGCTACACGTTTTACACTAAAAATAAAGCTAGGCTTACTAGTTATTTCAGCAAAATCTTTAGATTAGTGAGAGAGGTCCAGTAATTCTGTTCTGTGACTATTTAAAATGAAGTGTTTTTATTTTTAATCTCATACGATTAAATATTTGAAAGAAACCATCACAATGTTTACAAAAATACAGCATGATACATACGGCTGTGGACAAATTTACAGTATAATGTTGACTCACACATTCTGACATGTTTTACCAAGTAGTTCTGGCAAGTGTCACCACATTAAACATATACCAGCAAGACTTACACCATCTGAGCAATGTAACATCTTCTATTATAGCTCTTTTAAAAAAGTGTAAGTTCAACACTGAAAAGCTACTATAGGATATCTGTACTGTGACATTTTTATACACTGAGTTTCTTCCCAGTAGGCCACTACATGCCATTGACCTTTTAGATAAAGTCGCCTCCTGACTGTAGTGAGGGGTTCTGTTCAAAACCTCTTGGCCTGGTAAGGTCCAATGTGACTAAATTGCGTATTCACTTTTAGAAAGAAAATGAGAGCCTTTCAAAGTCTTTCTAAAAAATAGAAACAAAAAACAAAAAAAAAACCCCACTGATTTCAGAGGTACTGGACATTTAAGGGCCTAAAGCATATATTGGCTTTGAGAGATCACACCTGCAGCTGGAGCCTGTGTCCTGAGGCTCCCTGCAGGTCCTGGCCGGCAGGTACGGGAGGGACGGCCCGGCCCCGCTGTGCCGTGGCAACGTGCCAAAGCCTGCTGGATGCTGTGCCCCGCACGGACTGGCAGCGAGAGACCGTTCACAACAGTAGGCAAAGAGGAGACAGATGACAGGAAGAAATTATCATGTGGGTGAGCTGGCATTTGAGAGACTGCCTCAGTCCTTCATCCAGGGTCAGGCAGGAGTTACAGAAGCACTTCACGCCAGAAGGCCCCTCCTGATCTTTAAGGAAAGGGTTGGGTGTATCTTTCCCTGCCCAGCACAAGGGGAGAAGGTCAGGAAGGAGAGGAGAACGGTAAAAAGGAGTAATTAGTAGCTTCTCTAATGGTTTGCACAAGGTGGTTAGGAGAGCTGGGGCTTATGAGATACACATTCAGGAGAACCAACATTGATGAGGTAGCACTAGAGATGATCAAACGGAGAGTGAATTTTCTTTCCAAAAGCCAGTTCCCTGCATCTGTCAGTCAGAAAATGCTGCCTCAAAAAGAGCTGATTCAGGCTTTGAAGTATGCCAGCAGTGGCCTGAGCGACCTGACAAAGGTACAAAGACTGAAACACCCTGATACTGAAAAGAAAGAGTACTGTTTCTTTGGCATTGTGTATTTCTAGAGTGCATCAATTTTTTCAAACTTCTGGAGTGGCAATGGACTCTTAAGTCTTTGAGGTTAAAAATTTTCAGTGGACTGATTTTTTTTTTTTTTTTAAAGATAGTATCTGCTTCCAATACTATATTCTGTTGAGAATTGGCTTCGGTTCTAGCACAGATATTTTTATTTATGTATGTATTTTTTACAGCTCTCAGTCAGTCTGTATCCTAGGTTTACCTGCCCTACAACCCCTCCCTGAATGGACAATGGAGCATCTGACTGTTAGGACCAGTGCATTGCCTGATCTCTCATTTCAAGGAATGAGTATAAATCACAAATGAAAGCAAGAACAGGAAAAAGCAATTTAAAACCTCTAGAGCTAAGTAATAGGGCTGCGGAACAGGAACAGACAGAGCAAAACCTGTCTTCTGAAATGGCAATTTGTTTTTTAGCAATCTTTTTTTACTGAAAGCTGTCATGATGAACTCTAATCTTCTAGAAATCTAGATAAAATATAGTATATATCTGATATACAAAGCAACTTTTTTGTTAGACAGGTCTGTTATTGTTGTGAGTCTTTGAAGGATTCTGCTGTCGACGAGTGCTTCTGTTTTAGGCAGGAAGCTTAATTTCCTGGCATAGTTGGCTAAAGGAATTCCCTGAATTTTCCATCTTGTGTAGCTTTTAAGGTAACATTTATGATTATGCTACTTTCCTTTATGAAATGGCAGACCATTTCTTTTTTGTCACAAGCATGCAGACTTGTTCTTATATCTCATACTCGGGGAAAGCAAATTGCATGTGGTTGTTCTGTCCGAGAGTCCACATCCGGGCTTGCTATCAGTAGGCAGACATGAGGGTGGCTACTGTTTCTTTAGAAATTTGTATAATTTGTTTAATATCACCTTTCCTCTAGAACTAGATGACATGACATTTCAGTTTCTCTTTAAGGGAGTTATGAAGGATTTGCAAATAATAGGCACTAAGAAGTCCCATAGGGTAGGTCTTGAAATGCATTTCTTTCTGTTAACGGGGTTATGATACGATGGAGAAGCTGGAATGTATGCTGCGTATGTTCAGACATGCTTTGGACTCTTAAATAATTTCAGGGTATGTTCAACAAATAGTCTCTTCTAAATTAACTGGCTGCTACTGTGGTATGAGTTTCCTCTCACTGCCATCAATCACCAGATCCATCTTGCATACCTCTATTGAAGACTTCGTCCTGTGATCCTGGATGGTCAGTCCCTTCGTAATATGAGTTCCCATTGTGAAGGAAAGTCCCTACTGCACGCCCTTGCCGAGCGTGTCCTACTGCATCACTGAAGACCTTGTTTATTTGTTCTTCGGACGGCATCCACCAGTCAGGGTTGGAAGTACAGTGCATTCTGATGAACTCTGCAGGAAAACAGGCAAGGATAAAAAAAACCCAAAAACACTGCTTGTCTTTGCAGCATCTGCTGTTGCTCAGACATCAACAGTTAATAGGAAATAAGAAACAGGGCGTTATTGTTCTACTTAAGCAGAAGTAAAGCCTTATGGGAAATGCCATGATAATGCCAGTTGGACCTATTTTATTTCTGTGCAAGTGTATTTCTCCACTTGCAACGCATATTGCTATAACTGAGCTAATTATGTGATGCACAGGACCAGGAGATAAAATCCCTTCTTGCGGAAATAAAAAGCAATAATTCTACATGATTGCTACAATTCAGGGTGTGCAATACATGGAGAAGTTAATATGAAACAGGGGATGTATTTAATGTGAAACCTGCAGCGTGTTTGTACCTTGTTGTGATCACTTTCCTGGATCTTTATGGCCTCCCTCTGCTGGCTACTTGAACATCTGCAGCCTGTAGCAGCCTGAAAATGTGCCTGAAAATGTCACTACCGTTATTTCCGTTTCGTGCTCTTTTCTGTTTGGAGTATCTTTCATTTTCAGTCCTAATCTTTTCATCTTTCTGAATATGACACCTATTTTTCAGAGACTAAATTGCCCTTAGAAATAGCTAAATGAGATGAGAAGGCTATTTTGTCCTTTTGGAGCCAAGCAGTAGTTTTCAATGCACAAGAAAATGAATCGTACTACACGTAATTTGGCTACGTAAGTAGCTACTGCTTACATGTATAGTTATTTGTATGAGATGATCACATTTTTTATAATTTCCTTCAGATTTTTGACATGCGATATGTTAAACTTGCAGAGGGCGCCTTACCAGTTCTGGAGATATAAATGCTAGTCATATCTCAAAACCAGGCATATTTGGACTTTGAAATATCCAAATCTGATTTTAAACAAGAGGGCATCTTATTAGATGTATTGGATACACTGTATCTTATATGGAAACTGAGCTTTTAATTTATTCTACAGCATTGGTTATTCCTTCATGTGGTATTTGGTCTCCTAAGATATTTTTGAATTCTACTTTCTACTGTTGACAAGCCAACAGCACAATAAGTGGCGTAAGGTAACTTCACTGCTGTCACAACATCTTGAGACCAGTGAATACTGTGCTTTAACATGAGTTACCATGCCTGCAAGGTATCTCATCTGACAATTAAGACACGATTTTTGCATAGCTCCTCTAGCAGCGCACCTGCAAAGCTGATAGCTGTCTTGGTTTTAGATCCGTTTCCCTGTAAATCTGCACAGGCAGTAGTAATTCCTAGGTAGTTATGTTCACACAAGGCTTCACAGACTGGTGCTTGTCTCAAAGAAATGGCTACTATGTAGAGGAGCATTGCTGTAATTCAGGTGCGCCAGGCTGCTTTAAAGCAGTTCCAGACATCCGTCAGTTGTAGGAATATATTTTAAATGTTTACAGAAGTTTAATCCACTCTGACTGTGCAGAGGGAAGCAGCCTGTGCTTCTTGCTATGGTGGGAAAGCATAATTGGATGTGCTGGGAATTAGTCAGACCCTAGTTACCTTGGCTTGCAAATGGCTAGGAGCCAGCGTCAGACTCTTGGCATCGCGCAGAAGGTGTAGCGTTCCCACCCAGACACGAAAGCCCAATGGGATAGCTATCTATTCTGCTCTCTTAACCGGTCCACAGACATTGGACATTTTGGCTTCCTGTTTGAGCCTCCAAAAATTAAGGAAATTGGCCTTTCCCTTTCTCCCCATGGAGCGCTCCACACATTCATTTTGTTTAGTACCTCAAAAAGGAGAGCAGCAGTAGGCAAAAGGTCATCTACAGGTGGCTTTACTGTTAGGCTCGGTGGGAGGCAGCGGGAAGAAAGGGGAAGGAAAGGGTATTAACTCTGTGCTTGTGCATAAATTATTAGAAGAAATGTAAAGCCAACGGTTAATACACTTGCATTAGCCCTTAGTTTCCAGGAGAACTTCTGAGACCCTGAATCTTGCTGCAGACCTCTGTGCAGTACGATGTGTGCAATGTACCTTCCCTTCTATTAAGCTCTGATAGAGTATCGTGTAACAGGTTAACAGCTGTTGAGGTTCCTGTGTAGTTTAAAAAAAAAAAAAAAAAAAAGAGCATCTTGCCTTAATTTGTCTGTATGTAAAAACTGAGTTCATTACCTGATTGGATCAATAAACCACAACTAAAAGTCTAATCTACTTGGCTTTGTTGAATACTTCTAATCTAAATGGACAATGGACAGAGGCTCAGCCTTATGTGTAACCACTTTGGATTCCAGTTAGATAAATAAAAATGTTTTTATCACCAACTGACCAAAATTTGGGTTTTTCTTTACATTGTTTAGTTAAAACAAACTTGAAATAATTTTTACCTAAATTGTATTTATGTGCTTACAAAAATACTATCAATTTTGGGTTAATTAAAGAAATGATAACCATATGCATTTATGAAAAGCAGACTTTGATACAAAAATATGATTTTAGCTGGGCTTTAAAAAGTAATATTTTGTATGTCCCATTATAAAGCCCAATAATAAGCCTTTCTAAGAATTTTAGTTAGCCAAAGCATGAACTGCCGTAATAGATGAGACCCTTTCTCTGTTTTGTCCAGCGTTCTCACTCTTTGCCATTGTGAAATGCTTGCAAACTCCCCTTCCTGTTGTTGCTAAACATGCGGGAAAGTTGTTCACTAATTTTTTCATTTAATGTTGCATCGAAACAGAAGTTACACCCTTGACAATGTATTTGTATACTTTCCATCTAATCAACCTGTAGATGTTCTTGGCCATTAAAAATGTTCAAACCTATTTTGAAACTTGGTAAGCTTTTGGCTCCAATGATGCATTGTGGCCTTGATGTCATGGGCTAACTATACTTCAGGCTAAAAATATTCCCTGGGTTCATTTTGCTGCATATCAGTGTCAAAGGATGTCATCCTGTTGTTTTATTATAAAAGAGAGTAATCAAAATCCTGATTTGCCTTCTTGCTGTTTCGTGTCTACTAGTACTACATGCTCTTGTATTTGTCCCCTCTCTTAAATAAGCAGTCGTGTTTTCTTCCTGTCCTTACATAAATATACATATATATGTATACACACACGTGTGTGTGTGTGTGTGTGTGTGTGTGTGTGTGTGTGTGTGTGTGTATTTATATACACACACATATATATGTATGCATAAGTGGAAGGTTTCTGGCTGCTTGTTGCTTGCCCTCTGAAACCCCTCCTAGTTCTGTAACTGGCAGCCAAATGCCTCTACTGAGCCAGAGCCAATGTGGTGAAATGAGATCACATATGGTGGACACTAAGCGAAAAGATGCAGTACCTCTGAGACATGTTACTTTTACTGGATCCAGAGGACGTCTTTCAGGACCTGTCTCTCCTGACTGCACTGACCTTTTCCTTTTCCCAAGGCCGCATGAGTACTTAAGCTCATCGGTTGTGAAAACAAATCTGATGAGATAGCGAAGTAGCCGTCTTCCATCTTTCTTTGAAGAATTTACAGCCTCATCCCACTGCTTACTAGTGATGTAGACAGGATAGTTGTTCAGCAACTGCTTGCTCCCCTGAAAAAGTGAAATACTTCCATTGCATATTTTACAAGGCAAATAAGCAAAGATGTCAGTTGTAATAAAAAAATAAGCTTTTTAACTAGCTGAGATACTGACAGTGAAACGCACACTGAAGTGAATAAGCAATTGCTCTTGCTGGCAATGAGTACTTTTAAAATCACGTTTCCATTTCTATATCAGAATTTGGGAGGGACAAAGAACACATGTTGAGAAAGTGGTTATTTATAATTTGCCTTTAACAGATAGGTTAAAAAGTGTTAAGAACCAGTGGCTGGAGATGCTTTTTAAGTATAACCTTTCTTCTTAACATATTAAAACGTATAAAAAAGGTCTTTGAAGAGAGTGATCAAACAGATCATTTCATGGCAGCTGATAGTTTACTTCAGAGGTGACTTTCTTGGTCTATTTTTATAATAAATTTGTTACTTCTGTAGAACACACCTGAAGCTTGACAGCGGTTATGTTACTGTGAAAAATATAAATAAGAAATAAATAAAGCAACTATGAAAACTAAAAGCTTCATTACTATTAATGAATGCCATTATTAACTCAAATTATAGCTTTACACAAATGCCACCATGTCAGCTGGAAACAAATTTTACTTTTAACCTTCATAATTTGTGTGCTTCAATATTCCAACATTAAATGAGTGCTGTGGGACTAATTATGGGGATTCTTGTAACCCACACACATTTATAAGCCCTCCTTAGTCAATCGTACCTAAACAGTATTACTTCTTGCCGCCTATAAAATACTGTAGCTCAGGATAAGTCAATTAACCTAAGATGGCAGTGTTAATATCCTTATTCTCAAGTAATTAAAGTATACCAAAAAAAAAAAGCCCACACCCTCTAAGAGACTCATTCACTTTTACAGCTACATGTTCATTAAAACACATAAATCTGGAGGCCCGATTAGTAAAAGCTTCATAAATGAAAGCTTCGTAAATAGCTCGGAGAGGAGTTCACCATGAGCAAATGCAATGAACATCATCTGATGTGCAGCCTAAGCAGGCAGCTGTACGCTGCACTTGTGGCCAGCTGTTGCAAAGTTACCCTCTTTGTTCTCAGATCTTCAATATCTGAACACTATTTTAAGGGATGCCTTTGCCTCTTCTCATATTTTTATAAAAGCATTTTGGGAGATAGCTTAGGAGCATCTTTGATGAAGTTTTTGCTCAGGTATTTGCTTTAATTTTTTTTGCAAGTTTGCTAAAATACATGGAAGGTTGAATTTAGCCGAGGCTGTGATGCGGGGGACATTAGAGAATCAGCTAATATGACTTAAGATGGCACCACCTCTCCGAAGGGGCGTTGGCATCGCTCTGACGGTGTGTTTCTTCTCACTTCAGTGCAAAGCTAGCTGGCTTGATTTAAATTGTGGGCAAAGGCAGCTATAAGCAAATCCAAAACTCTGCCAAGGTAGCCAAAATAGAAAGGATGAGATGGGCAGTGTCCATCTGATGACCCCTCCTCTCCACCTAACGTCTCTCAACCCCTCATTCCCTCTGTTGCTTTTAAGTCCAAGCATTGTAACCCCTAAGGGAAAGACCCTTTACCTAGAGTCGAATCCTGTTATAGTTTGAGAGTTTGTCCTTGCACTTCGTTTGTCAGCTCTCCTACTGTATAAGGGACAGGGTCAGTCCCTCCCTCTGCAATCACGACACAAGTTGCTTTAATTTATGCCAGGTAAGTATGTCCCTGGGATGCCAATAATACAGCTGAGGAGCTCTGCTGCAGAAAGGACATGCTCCTTCATCCAGCTCAACTCTTCTTCCCCTGTGAACGTGGTGAAGGAAGTGCTACAGAAAGCTCTTTGGCAGTGTTATGCTCCTATGCTGAAGCAATATTTCCTTGGCTTGCTCCATCCAAGTGGTAATACACAGGACCATCTGGTCCCCATGTTGCCATTTATTTTTTTCAGCAGCTTGCTCAGCATCACGTCTATCTAAAGCTAATAATTCTCCCACTACAGCTTTTTTCCCCTTATTAAAAAAAAAAAAAATCTAGCAAAGTAAGAACTTTTCTTATGGACACCAGTGCAGGGTACAAACTCCAGTTAACTCTTGAGGCATCATCCTGCTCTTGAGCCCTGCTATGCGGGACTGGACTTCTCTCAAGCAATGCAATGCTGCTTGGTAATTGCATCGTGTAAGGCTCCAGGCTTGCTTATGTGTGTTAGGGATGGCTGTTCATATGCAGCTTTGCTCAGTAGCAAGCTATCCTAAAAAGCTATCTTTGTGTTTAAATGTAGTGTATTAATGGAGATACGGTCTTTTAAATCTAGTGTAGAAGGCCCCATGTGTAAATTTCACGAGGGCTCACATTGCTATTAACTGGGGAGAGGGTAATAAATTTTGTGCAATTTCCTCAGCCCAAACTTTATTACACTTCTCTCTTACTCCCACTGAAATTTAGGATATTTTCCCTCGTTCTTCTCCAAAGGCATGATATAGTGTTCTGATGCTCTGTTAAACAATTACTGTGCTTCTGCTGCAGATACGCTTTCATTGCTTCCTGTGAAAGCAAAGCACTTCTGGGCAAAAGATTCTTAGCACATTTCTGATGCAGTTTAGTGCGTCCAGCAGTCATTAAAGTAAAACAAACAAAAAACCTTCCGGAAAGGAAATAAGCCGATCCTGAAGGAAGAACTGAAGAACAAATGTGTTCATGCTTATATTTGTATATGATTACGCTGATGAATAAAAGATTAGCATCTTAGTATGTGTTTAATTGAATAAAAAATGTTGTCACATCATGACAAGCTATTCCACCTGGGACATTGCAGAACAGTCTCGTTTTTGTAGTGAAAAATGCTTGAAAATTTTAGTTAAGCAAAAAAGCATAAAAAAGGAAAATGAAAGCTTGGGATTCATTTGAGTAATAACAGCTAATGATATATAAAAATATATATTTCATGTGTATATGTATTTATGTGTGTATACATATATACACAGACACACATACATATATCTATTTATGAATCTGCACAGGATGAAACTGAATGGAGAGGCAAAGTGGTGCAAATCCTGAACTGCTGCAAAGTGTCTTCAGTGAAGCTCTGGGAAGTTGGGCTGCGTGAGACTTGTACCATGCACAATTTAGGTGAAGAGCAACGCAAGGTTAGATGAGACCTGTGTCTCCCCTCTTAGGATTTTGTTTGTGTGAATAAGGGACAGTGGCATGCATAGACTAAACATTTGCAAACACGCATGGTAAGTGCCTCAAGTACAGCCAGTCTAAACAGGAAGTGTCAATGCTGAAAGCCACTTCATTTGAGGCGTTTTTATGGGCCTGGATAGAAACACACTGGAGCAAAATTAACATGAGTTACACTACAGCTGCTATCTAAATCTATACATCTATCTGCTAGACAAGAGGAGGACTTAAATTTTCGGCTTTTTCGCTGCAGCACTTTCAAAAGTAACATAATTGCAAAAAGCTCCAAATTCTTTATCGGCTGTCAACACCCACCCAAATACTATCGCCAGCCTGTACGACGGGTCGGTCCGCACAATGAAGGAAAGGCCTATTTCACCTTTAACCACCGCCATAGCCACTTTGAGCCGGAACCAGACAACACGCGGCTCCGCGAGGGCC